ACCCTCCACCAACCCCCCCTGGAGTCTTTATGTGTTGCCTGGCTACACCTTGCTATTTATACAGATTAAACTCTCTGGATGAATCGTGGATTTTGATACAAAATAACAGGATTTTTGACAAAGTGAAATGTTCACTTTTCCTCCTGTTTTTTTCGCCCCTGGTCAGATACAAGATCTCTGACCGTATCTTCAGCAGGTTTTCTTTTTTTACCTGTTGTAATTCATGAATTTATTTTTAACCATCTTATAGTGAAGTGTTAAATGCAGTTGGTTTTAGTCAAATACAAAAACGTCAGTTCACAGTTCAGACGTGGGACCCTTGGACTGGGCTCTTTCCGACTGCAGTTAATTTAAAAAAAAGATCAAAGATCTGTTGATGACAGGAAGGTATTTCTTAACATAAATGGCCTAAAGTATATTCAGAAGAAATGCCAGCCTGTAAAAAACAGTTTACTTTCTGTCCGACTGTGTTGATCATCACAGGGATCAACAGGTTTGGGAACAACGTCATATATTTAATACGACAGTAGAAAAGTACAAAATGATTTGGATCAGAGACAGTGAAACCACAGCCACCAGGCTGAGGAAATAAAAACCCGTGTAGGAACAGTAAAATGTTGGTGAATTTGTAATGCGGTAAACAAAGTTGTTTTCTTTCTCTGAGCACCATTAATATCCTAAACAAATGTGGAAATCTGGCCAGTAGCTGCTGAAATCTGGACCGAACAGTTGGACGGCTAAACAGATGGTTAGACCAGCACACAAAGTGATCACCAGGCTGTGCCTCCAGTGGGTCAAAGACTGGGTTTGGCTCGTGACACAGGAGACTGGCTTTGATGGCCGTTCAGTTTCACAGTGTTTGAAACGATATCCTCGTTTTCTCTCCTGCCTGTCCTATTTAAGGACTGGGCAAATCTGTCACTTGGCGAAGGTTTTTCGTATGAGTAATTTGTTTACCCTCTTAGGTTTACTCACAGACTTTGTTTGGCTTCAGGATTAAAGCCTAAGTACATCTCGCTGTCAATGGCACATCGCTGTCCCAGAGGACGGAGGGAAAGTGACGAGGCCCAAGGACAACAGCATCAAGTGGCTCTGTGTCAGAGCCACTTGATGCTGTTGTCAGTTTCTGAACGTAAAGAAACAGTAGACTCCCAGACAGCGTCAGTCCTGGTCTACATCTGACCGACTCAGGTAGAAGCCACTCAGTGGAAGGTCGGTTTGTGCTCTTGCCTTACATGGTGCGTCTGTATCTTGTTGCCCGTGACCCTGTGACGGACTGAGGAACTTTCACTGACACCTGTGACGGACTGAGGAACTTTCACATCACAGAGTGATTATCACGCAGACAAGAAGTGAAGTTCACAGCAGTCCAATAAAGGGTGAAGTCAGTGAAGTCCGTTTTCGTTTGTTGCCTTGTCAATGAGTGTGTGTGTGTGTGTGTGTGTGTGTCTGCTCTGCAGAAGAAGTGAAACAGGGATATAAAAAAAAAAAAATATATATAAATAAAAATGGGAGAAAACATGCCGATCAACTTGTGTTTTTCCAAGTTGTCTAAAGCTAAGTTTTACACAGAGGAAAGTTGAATAACTCAGGATGTATGATGCAAGTAAGTAATACAAATGCTCATGCAAAGATGGAGATAGGCTGTATACAATAAATATATATATATATATACAGTATATGTATATATATGTGTGTGTTAGTAATAATGTAGTTTAAATCTTACAGTTTTGATTCGTTGTTAGCATTAAACCCATGTATTTATTTAAATAAAAATCCTGTGAAGAAAAACACAGATTTACCTCCGTATCATCACAGTAATGTTTATTTATTTTAATAAACAGTATGTGTGTGCAGTGCGTACACAACAGAGTAATACTAAATCTGAGTATTTACAGTACTCAAACAGAGCTCTCCTGTTTTACTTTTAATCTTTTAAACAAACATCAAACCTTTCTGCTTGAATGCATTTCTCAATTTCTGTTTTATCATTCTTTATGCTTTGCTTCTTTCTAACACATTCTCAATTCTAAACTCTTTTGTTAATCCTTACCTGAGTTTTTACTGTAATCTAACCATTTGTTAATCCATTAACCTAATTACATCATCAATTATCTTAGCCCTGATTTCCCATTTCAGTTTTTTTTTTCTCTTTTTAACTTAAGATGGAAAATCACTTGTGAAATTCCGCCTGCTCTCTCACCCACTTGATATTGAATCAGGAGACAAAATAAAAACCACTTCATTTTAACAGATAATTAAATTCACCGGAATCTTTTTCCCAGTTTAAATTCCTCCCAGAGTTTTTAAATACACGACCACCTTGGCTAATAATACCTGCTCTGTGGGTGTGTGAATGTTGTGACGTAGAGTGGAGTGAGAGGTTGATATAGTTTATTATTATTTCACGGTTCACACTTTAGGCCAGATGTAAACATCAGTAACTGAGACTTGAATTTTATTATTATTTATTATTATTTTTAAAAAAAAGTTCAATTGCAAAAATCACGATGACGATGACGTCACAGCAGAGGTGACGTTGTTTTATTAATCCATGACCAAAACATCATGCTGCATATATTCATATTCTAGTGACCTTTGACCTCTACCCACCACATCCTTCTTCCTCAGTTTCTAAAGGAGCAGTTTGGTCCATGATTATTGGAGTTACGTATATTTGATTTTTTTTTTTTGTGATTGGTTCAGAGTTTATTTGTTGTTTTTCTCACACGTTTGTGGCAGAAAACACACATTCATTAACACAATTATCTACATCGATCAGAGCTCACTGAGAAATCCTGCTTCCACTCTTCGGTCGGTGCATGAGGAAAGCCCTCTCTCCAGGTGTGTGTGTGTATATGTGTGTGTGTGTGTGTGTGTGTGTGTTTGCCTGTAGTGCTGCGGTCTCCCTCAGCAGGACTGGATTCATCGCTGGTCTCTGACAGTACGCTTTGCGGGATGTGCTGCTCTTCAGCCTGTTTCCATGGAGATACTCAGGAGCTGTAGTTCTACACCCCTCACTGCACCCCCCCCCCCATCCTCACCCCCGTCCTCACCCCCATCCTCACCCCCATCCTCACCCCCATCCTGCTGTACATTCCTCTAAACAGTGTAGCTTCATGAGAGGGAGATCTGGGCCAGGGTGTGTGTGTGTGTGTGTGTGTGTGTGTGTGTGGGATGATGTGATAACGCCACTGACAGATATGCTTATGCTATAGTGATATAATTAGACGGTGATGGTGAGTGTGTACACGCTCGACCACTATTGTGACTGTACTCTGTGTGTGTGTGTGTGTGTGTGTGTGTGTGTGTGTGTGTGTGTAGGCGTGCATCAGCCATGACTCCTGAATTATCAGCTGTGCGTGATCTACTGAGTGGTCACTGACAGAACGTGTGTGTGTGTGTGTGTGCGCTCCCTCCGTGCTCATGAGTCAAATTGAGTGTAAGCAGCAAGAGCAGAGAGAGAGAGAGAGGGGGGGTGGCGGGGGGGAGGACCGAGCTGAGGAGAGAGGGCAAAGGAGGACAAGAAACGGCGAATGAAACGGACGCTGAAAATAGATCCTTTAACGCAAGTGCAAAGCAAATGACTGTAAACGGCAAAACAATGGGTGAAAATAATGAGCTGCTTTCTGTTAGCCGCACACAGAGGCGGTCCTGATGGCCGTGCACCGTACGGACCCCCGAGAGGGGCTGCAGAGCCTGAAACAGACGCTGCCGGTTCTTGCTTACGAGGTGACAGAGGTGACAGGTGATTCCTGGGGCGGACAAAAGGGCCACCAGGGGGGAGACGCAGCGAGTCCAAAATAGCCACAGAACAAAAAGGACCTTTCTGTCCTGGCAGAACAATGAGGAGCAGAGCTGAAGGCAACAGTGTCTCCTGTAAAGACAGCAGGGCATTCCCTTGAGCAGCAGAGGGTTTTCACACCGACACTGTCGGAGACGGAGTTCACCTTCGACACAGCCAGGAGTTTGTCAGATTTGGGGAAATGTTGTGATCATTTTTTCAGTATCTCTCACTCTGACTACTTCTAGACACATTAGTATCAGGTTCAGCCCCCACGTCTGTGGTAATGAAACTGTTTTAGTTTTTTTTTTTTCCACACCTCTGTTTTGATCCTAATCTGTGTCATCTGTTGTTCAGTGACGAGCAGAGGGAGAACAGTAGAGCTTCTTCGTTAACAGTTGCCAACGGCAGCTGGAAATGAAAGGAAGTCAAACCTGTAGCGTTGTCGTCCGGACAGAGGAGTCATGATCCGAAAACACGCTATCAAAGATAATATTAATAATCAGTTATTCTTCTGACCGTGTACAGAATAAAACAAAAACTAAACTGACAACAGCTCCACCACCAGGTGTGACGATTATTTCAGCATACGTTTTGAGTTTAACTCCATTTTGTTTACATCTCCATACTGATCATGGTTCATGCTGCGGACACACTGTCTGTTCAGAGGAGCAGGACGGTAGGAGACGTCGTACTCTCACCCGTCACACTCTGGGGAACGCTTTTAGGCTCAGTGCAAGTCCAGCTGAGAGATAAGTTAACATTAAGACGAGGACTTGAGCCTGTTCCAGAGCCACGGTGCCGCCTGTGTGTGAATGGACTGCACCGTGGCCCCGGCCACACCGTCAGCCAGCTGGTGCGTGTCAACAAATGTTTCTATAGACAATTTAAAGTCCCGCTGCTGTAGAAGAACTCAGTGTCCTCTTACTGTCAACAGTGTGTGACTTCTGTTAAAAACAACTTTTAACAATTGAACTTTAAATTGACCCTGGGATTTGGATTTTGAAGCTTTAAATTGACCCTGGGATTTGGATTTGGAGTCATTTGATATTGGAGTTTTTTTTTTTTTTTTACTTCACTCTTCACATCGCTGCTGGCATCCTGCACCAACTTCCTGCCCTGAAGAGAAAACCCTGGCTCATCAGCATAACTGAAATGGAGTTATCAAAAATAATGAATCCTGTAACAGTCTGATTTAAACCGTTTTCTAAGTCGAAATGTAAAAGTTACGAAGTCAAAAACGATCCTGTTTGTCACCACAGAAGCAGCGGAGGCTTCTAGACTGTGGCCTCTGTGCTAATGTGTCATATCACACAGAGGTAACACACACTGACAGCACTGTCTGGTAACCTGCTGGTGGTGACAGACTAATTTCAAACTAACAATAGGAAGTGCTACGCTAACAGCCCGTCTTGGCATCGACATGAAAGGTTAAGATTCAGCTCAGTGTTTAGGCTTCAGCTGCAAATGAATCTTTATTAGCTTTCAATGCAGCATTCATTTCATTTCATCCAGCAAAATATTCCACATCATTATAACAGAAACTGTTGATGAAACTCTCTGACTCTGTGCTATTAAAAAAATGACCCTCGATATTTGTCTTTAGACCTAGGAAAGAGGAATTTAAAAAACGTTCCAGTAATAGAAGATAATTGTGGCCAAAGAGAGTGTGTTTCTAAAAAACACTAAGTCTGTGCCTGTTACAAACAGCAGACGCTACAAGACGTGAAGTAAAATGAAAAGTATCAAACCTGTCGTTGTCGTCGACAGAACAGACAATATGTCAGTGTTTTTTTCTGTTTTCTTCAGAGTCACTGACCTCATGACAGAACAGACAATATGTCAGTGTTTTCTTCAGAGTCACTGACCTCAGGCTTCGACCACAGACTCTTTACAGTAAATGAACACCATCCTGGTGTTAACTGTGGTCCAGGTGACTTATTTACTGAAACAGGAAACCATTTTCAAAATAAAAGCTGCTCTTCTATAATAATGATGAAGTTAGGCTACTTTTGACCCACTGAATGTCAGATTCTTCCACCTTTAAGTCAGAATATTATCTACAGATTAAAAGAAAACCTGGAGATAATGACAAGGACAAGGACAAATGTTTGCTGATATTTTAAATTCAGTTACACTCCAGTCTATTTGCCTGCAGATTTGCATTTATATGGAGTTACTTCCTAAACACGTACATTTTCACCTGATCATCCTTGGGCTTCTCTTCAGGACCAAAGTCTGAGTCGAGGTGTCAGATTGTTCCGAGCTCAGTTTCTCTTGTGTTTTGTTTTTTTTTTATCTCAAAAGCGGGAAATGAAAATGCCCAGTCGGATGATTCTTAATAAAGTCTTATCTGTATCTGTTACATGAGCTACTGTTCAGTTGTGCTGGCATGACAGTCTGGTGACAACAGCATGGCCTCCTTCTAGAAGGAAAAAAAACAATGCTAGATTTGATGTGTTTAATTCAGGTTAAAAATAATCTGGAGCTCTGATATGTTGAGTTTTTCTCGTTATCCACTCATGTTGTCCCCAAACCACCTCACAGCAGCAACGCCTCCACCCGAAGCTCTTTCAAAGTACGTCAAAATGTGTGCCTGCTACTGTGTGCTATAGTGACTGCACACAGACTTAATAAGAAATATTGCCACGTGAAAAAACCCCCAGTTTGGGTTTGCACAGTCTCCCTCGGCAGCATCTTTATTAAAATATTCTGTCACTGCAGCGTTCTATTGGTGTCTTAAGAAGAAACAGCTTCTGTTGAGTGTCAGACCGCTTTGACAAATCACACTCCAGAGCGAGAGCCACGCTACTGTGTAGGAAAAAACAGAGCTGCTGGGAACAGCCCAGCAGAACACCAAATGTGTCGCAATCAAAGCAAATGACAGAAAATAAAGGAGGTCAGACTTAAAGCTGAAAATAGCCCCGAGAAAGCACCCCCGTACCTCAGGTATAGCTGAAAATAGCCCCGAGAAAGCACCCTCGGAGCAGCAGCCGTACCTCAGGTACGAGCCGAGCCAGCTCCCAAATGGAATAATGTCTTTTTATCCAGAGTAAATATGACGTTTCACCAAAGGAGGCGTCAGTGATGGACTTGGAGCAGCTGGAGCTAGAAGCATGTTGTTACGTCTAATCATTGTCATTACTGTTAGCAGCAGAACCAGTGTGTTCACAAGTTCAGCTCTCTGTTTAACAACAGCGCCACCAGACTGGATGAGTGGTTAAAGCAACAGGCTGTAACTGCTCAACTTTTCAACCTATTCAGCTAACAGTTGATCAAAAAAAAATTAAATAATAATAATAAAAGTAAAAAAAAAAAAACTACCCAAACTAAACCACTAAAAATAAAATAAAAAAATAAAGCGCAGCTTAAAAAACATCAGGATAAATCAGGACGACCAGGTTCAGACCACAGGATCAGAGCGTTTGAAACAGCTAATTACTCTGAGGGACAAAGGAAGTGACGGAATCCTCTCCCTCTGTCCTGAAGTACACAGTATGTACTTTGGCCACCGGGGGCGCGTGGTTGGCCCAGTGTGATCGCGCAAGCTTTAATCAATGAAAACTGCTTTGTCAGAAGTTAAACTGTGGTCCTAAAAAACTTGCTCTGCGTTCAAGACAATCTGCCACACACACACACACACACTCCTCACTCCACATCTTCTCACTAAGCTGCGCTAACTGTTTATTTAAAGAGAGTGTAGAGGTGGCCTGCGCTCTCAGATGACGTAATGTGCTGGTTGGCTGTTGCCTAGATACAGTAGAGACAGAGGGGAAAACACTGGGGCCGTTCTCTTGTCATCAAGAACTGCAGGTCTGCAGGACCGGATGCACAAGACTCTAATAGCCATTTAAAAACTGGTACAAAACAGAAAGAAGGACAGACTTTGAATGAGAAGTACTGCACATCATTCACTTCCTAAAGTGTCTCCACTGTAGATGCAGACACAGAATTCTGAACGACAGAAACGCTCACGTCGGTAGGAGCCTCATTACGGCAGACATCGCTGAAGGAACTCATTTGGTTTCCTCTGTAGTATTGTTGTCTGGTTTACTTCACGTAGCCGTCTGTAGCATATCTGACTGAACCTGAGCCATTTACCACAGAGATGAATTCCTCGCGGGAACAATAAAGGCTGCGTCTGCAGCAGCTAAAATGGCAACTGTAGAGGATGTTTGGGATCCTGGTGAATCTGGTTCACCGTTTTTATCAAAAAGAATAACAATTTAATGTTTGCGGCTCCTCTTGTACTTTGGGTTACACTGTCTCCCAATTAAGTCCACGAAAGAGAAGTCTGTTTCCTATAAGTCTGTTAATAACTGTAAGTTCTGTTATCATATCATCCTCCTGAATGCCCCCCGGGGTGTTGTTGCCTAAATGTGTTGTGCTTCATCTTTGTACATGACATTGAGGCTTTGAAAAAAAACACAATCTCCTAGCAACTGAAGCACTAAAACTTCAGACGCCTCCTCCGCCGTATTCTCCCTGCTCCTGACACCTCCACCTGAAATGCTAACACTGACTGTACAGTAGAGGCACAACTCCGTCCTCTAGAACATGTATGTTTTTATCTGCATCAACCACTGTATGAGTTGCTGCCACCTAGTGACTGGAGGCTTGTTATCGTTCAAGCATCACAGCAGTGGTAACACTGAGGTGCCGTGGAAGCTTCTCACGCTCTCCACCCCCCCGAGGTGGACCGCTCCACTATTTGAGAAGCACTTCTCTAGATAGAAACCGTAGCACGGAGCAGAATAACTGTAGATGTTTAGAAGTCACAGGTTCAGAGTACAACTTTGGCATCTTTACTTGAAAAGCAAATGAACTACTGCATGTCCAACAGTTTCATTTGAGGCTGTGGCTGCAACTTTGGCATCTTTACTTGAAAAGCACAGCTGTGGCCATGACTGTAAGATCCTCATGCGACCAAAAAAAAAAATCATCATCATCCAAATGTTTGCATT